CTTTCCGAACCAATCGAGGACTGTTTGAACCCATGGTGATGTTTTTCGGACTCACCAACTCCCCAGCAACATTCCAGTGGATGATGAACGATTTGTTCAAAGAACAAATCGCACGAGGAGACGTTACCGTGTACTTGGACGACATCCTGATCTGCACAAAAGACAAAGACAGACATCAGGCCGTTGTCCAAGAAGTACTGACCATCCTCCACGCCAATAACCTATTCCTGAAGGCGGAGAAATGCGAATTCGAGGTACTAGAAACAGAGTACCTTGGAGTGATCATCAGCCAAGGATCGATTCGCATGGATCCCGTAAAAGTAAAAGGAATCACGGAATGGCCGCAACCTACCAAGAAACGAGAGCTACAATCATTCTTGGGGTTCACCAACTTCTACCGGCGATTCATCCAGGACTACAGCAAACATGTACGACCGCTGACCCAACTCACTGGAAAAACAGAATGGACATGGGGAACGGCACAGGAAAGTGCCTTCCGAGAAATCAAAAGAAAGCTAGCTGAAGAAGTAGTATTGGCGATACCTAATCGCACCGGAAAGTATCGCGTAGAGGCGGACGCAAGTGAAGGGGCCATAGGAGCAGTCCTATCTCAAGAACAAGAAGGAAAGTGGAGGCCAGTGGCATTTCTATCAAAAGCCCTGACAGTAACGGAACGCAACTACGAAATCTATGACAAAGAACTCCTAGCCATCATGTTGGCCCTTGAAGACTGGAGACACTACCTAATGGGCGCGTACCAGGAGTTTGAGATCTGGACAGATCACCAAAACCTGCAGTACTTCCGTAAACCCCAAAAGCTCAATCGAAGACAAGCGCAATGGGTAACAGAGCTGGCGGAGTATCACTTCATGCTACACCACAAACCGGGAATGGCAAACAAGAAGGCAGACCTGTTATCCAGGAGGGCAGACCATTACCAAGGAGGAGAAGATAACCAGGAAATGGTGGTATTGAAACCAGAAATGTTCCGAGCGTTAGTCATGCCCGGAGAGGAGGAGATTCATAAGCGCCTTCGAACGACGCTAAGGGACATTACAAAGTGGGACAAAGGAATTGAGGTGTCCCTTCACCACCCTAGGGGAATAACGCAAGAGGACGGACTAATGTACTATGATGGACGACTGTATGTGCCTCGAGACGCCAAGCTACGAGGAGAACTGATCGCCATTCATCATGACCATATTACTGCCGGACACCCCGGGATCGAGAAAACCAAGGAGCTCGTACAGCGAGAGTATTGGTGGCCCAAACTCAAAAACGACGTGGAACGGTACGTAAAAGGCTGCGAAGCCTGTCAGCGCACCAAGACAAGTACACAGCGAAGAAGAGCCCCCCTTCATCCTCACGCTGTACCCTCTCGACCATGGGAGCACATCACAGTCAACATGATAGGCGAGCTACCAGACTCTAACGGGTACAACGCCATTCTCATGATTGTGGATCGCTTTTCAAAAGAAGTAATCCCAGTTCCGTGCTCCACCGAGTTAACCTCAAAAGGATGGGCCAAGATCCTTAGGGATCAGGTGTGGGCCAAACACGGGATGCCACAAAAAGTCATATCGGACCGGGGCCCTCAATTTGTGTCTAAATTCATGAAGGAGTTGTACGAAATGCTCCACATACAAGGAAATCCATCCACAGCCTATCATCCACAGACAGACGGACAAACGGAAAGGGCAAACCAGGAAATTGAAAAGTATCTCCGCATATTTATCAATCACAGGCAAAACGATTGGAGTGAATGGCTACCCCTCGTGGCCTTCCAACATAATAACCGAAAGCATTCCGCCACTGGGTATTCCCCGTTCGAGATCAATCATGGACAAAAACCTCATCTCGCCCCGCTTACAATCAAGGAAGGAACCAATCCAGCCGCCAGGGAATTCGTCGCGGACATACAGAAAATACATGAACAAACCGCAAAGGCATTAGAAAAGGCAGCGGAAACCATGAAACGACAATATGACAAGCACCAACGAGCGGCGATAGAGTACCAACCAGGAGACCAAGTATGGTTGGACTCAACAAACCTATCCCTTCCTCGACCAATGAAGAAGCTAGGCGACAAGCGCGTCGGACCCTTTGAGGTGATTTCCAAACATGGCGCATCGGCATACAAATTACGACTGCCGACCGCGTGGAAAATCCATGATCGTTTCAACGAAAACCTCCTTACTCCATATCACCCGCCGGAGTTCTCAATCCAAGTACAACCGCCGCCACCGCCACCAGATCTCATAGACGGACAAGAGCAGTATGAAGTGGAGGAAATCGTGGACAGAAGAGAAAGAGCAAGAGGAAGGGGAAGAAGGCGCGGCACCGGAATCGAATACCTCGTTAAGTGGAAAGGGTACCCACGAGAGGAAAACTCTTGGGTAGATGAACAAGATCTGGATAACGCCAGAGACGCAATCGAAGACTTCGAACAAGTCTCGTTCATCACTCGACCACCAGCGGAGTGGTGGGAAGACGAAGACGAATCAGATTCATGGTCCGAACATGAATCAGTAACAGAGTCAGAAGTCGACCACCCATTGGTACAGGCAATCCAAGAATACCTGATAAAACCAAACGCTCCCTCCCTCGTAGAAGCCTATCTCCCAAAACCAAGTTACACTGCAGTCGGGATGACTGCCTTAACAGGGGGGTAATATTACGATTTTGTGCCTTATCTTATCTTATCGTCTCCATCGTAATCCTGCTATACTAGTTTTCCGGACTTGATCGCATTCACCATGCGGGTCTCGCGTGTTCAACGCACCGTTGCAGACACTTGTAGTATATTTAGCACGACCCAAACTGTATTTAAGTAGCTCGACTGCAGGTCTTAAACCTCAGTCTCGAACTAAAGTTTATTCACCCGATAACTTAGTCTGAACTCACTCTCGCTCCGCTAAGCGATAGCTCCCTGCACGCAAACCTGCGAGCAACATAAAGCGCCTGACCGAAGTGCGAGTCACGCTTAGTTGTTTGATCTTGTTTGTGTAATCGGTCGCTAACAATACCCCGGGACTGTCCGATCCAATACCATGACCCAAACACCCCATGCATAACCGACATAATCACCATCCCTTCATCAGAGTGTACAGCACCTGCGCACTCCGAAGAGCTCAATGCCATTGACGATGCACACTCATCTGATGACCAATCACAAGGTTATCCTGATACCGATGACTCAGATGTGGACCTCCTACAACGAGTCACCGAAAATTGGGATAAGGATGAAGATGATGACAACGATGATGATGATGATATTTCATCATTCTACTCAGAGTCGCAGTCGAGTGCGGGGGGATCTAGTGACTCATTCGAGACGAACGAAGCTTCGGACAACTCCCAAAGCTCGTTTGAAACAAATAAGTCTTAATTCCAAAATCCTATTTATGGTGTAGAAGGGGATTACCACCGCTCAATTTTGAGCAACGAACCCTTAGGAACAGGGAGTTCTGACAGACAGCGAGAGGCCGTACCGGCGCAAGGTGGTCCCGGATATCCAAGGATACCAGGATCCAGGTGCAGCTAGGGACGAGGCCGATGGCAGTACTCGAGGCCCAGCGGACCCGATGCTAAACTGTTTTAAAGCAGAAGGGAGACCCTCTTACTCGCTCATGCAGAAGGAAGGGGCCAGATTCTCATTCGGGACGAATGAGTCTTAAGGAGGGGGTAATGTTACGGTTTATTCATTTCTTTTTTCCTTTTCTTCATATTACTCAGCTTGATTACCCTCATGCGATCACAACGGACGCATTCCCACAGTACTATTATTAGTTTACTAAACGTGTATTTAAGTAGAGCCTCAGCTGGTCTAAACCCCAGCTTCAGCTAAGGTTTAATCTACCCAACTCGAACTCCATCCTTCGTGTCTATCTGCCCGTGATCCGCTTTGACATCACCTTTGACTTGCTTGAGTATCTACCACCGAAGTGCGAGTGGTGATCCAAGCTCGATCTAAGTCGATTATTAGTTGGTTGTTAACAATGAACTCAAAATCTGACCCAGAAATGTGTGTCCTCCATCTGAATGTAATCACCCACAAAGGCCTCAATAATGTTAATGACCTTCTGAAGAACCTGTATGACAAGTTTGAGACCAGGTGCCCATTATCTGAGGAGTCTAGGGCATAGATAAAAGTGTGGTTCTGCCAAGCTATTGCCTTTGATGGACAGTCTGACAGTCCAATGCACCTATTATTGCCCCATTGCCTCCGAATTTTATTTCTCCTCTTGCTCAATTTTTTACTATGCCTGGACATGCTAAATCAAACTTGAAAAAGTGCCAGATTACTCACAAATGCCATGACCAGCTAATGGAAAAGGCAGTCATTGCACACAAGAATGAGCTTGCCAAACTACCTGGTGCTCCTCAGAAAGATGCAAGAAAAATCTGCAAAGATTTCGAGGCTGTATATCAGAGGGAGACTGGAAAGGAGATCTCGCTTTCTTATAACACTCGAGTGATTCCAAGTTGCTGACTAATGAGGTTTGGGTACATGGGCCGGACTGTTTCAATGACTCAAAATAGCCCAGAATACCCACGCCACAATAATGCTGTGAAAGTGGACTTGTACCCGCACCTTTGAGCATCTTTTTTTTACTGTATCTTATTGTTGCATAGTATTACACATTCTTACATTCAAACCTAGTCAAAATTCCCAACCAATTGGAACCTACAGTAAATATCCAATTTTGCTGTTTCATTGACCGGTAAATAACTGTATCAGGGGGCCAATGGGAGTCAAGGCGGCATACGATGGGTATACAACGGCTGAAAGTAAGTCCAAAATATATTTCGCCGAGAATATGTCAAATGTAAATAGAATTTGACAGGGCCTTATAAATTGTATTTTGACAGCTCCAGTAGTTACTGGGGAAATTGTACTTTCGGTTCCCCTGTAGTTACTGGGATAAATTGTATTAAATGGACAATACAGCCTCGGTCTGTGTGGACACGGTATTCACACCCATGTCGACTACGTTTCGATGGTCGTCAATCATCATCCCGCGACTCAGTGTGCGGCGTATGTCCAGAAGGTATGCTCTTCCTTATTTTGTAAGGCAGTATGGACTCATGTAGCCTGCGCTATAGACGCCTCTGACACAATGTTGCACCTGTGAAGCTTGGCTTTGCGATCATGTCCCCATCGAGAACCGATATCGTTCTGCGGAGTTATGGAACGTTGTGGGCAATTTCCCGGACGTCGATGGCCCTTCCTCCAATGTCAACGAGATCCCCTTTTCCGACGACGCCATCAACAATGCATACACGCCCAGTTTCATGTCCTCTCCTTCCACCAATTCCGACACCGACACCTTTCCCGTGTTAAGCACTGAGGCGCCTATTTTCTCCCCGGCGTCTATCAGTGGCGCACCATCCGGTATCCAATCGGATATCACCCAGACCCAAGCTTACGCCTCCGACCATCACTCTGTTCAATATCCGGACCATCTCGTCAACTCCTATGCTCCTCAGCCAGACGGCGACGCGGTAGATGAGAATTTATATTACCACGGCGATCCGAACGTGATGTACGGCGCGGCGCCTGACGCCTGGTCGGGCTCATACGCTTAACCTGTGCCGGCGGCAGATTGCCAGGATCTTTGATCCTTGTTATCTTCTACCTATCCATCCATGGTCCAAAACTATCTACGCCCAATCAATCGCGCAGTGCGCACATCGTGTATTCCCATTCCCCTCTCCGCTCAGCTCTTCTCTCACCAATCTCCATCACAAGACAGGGCCTCATTTTCCTCGTATTATTTCGCTGTTTACCGTTTCCAGTAGCTGTGTTCCATTTCCTACTTGCTTTTTTGTATCTATTTATCACCAGTTTTGTCGGGATCATGTACTACCAGTTCGCTTTCGAAACGTTTGCTTTGATCTGTTGATATATGCTCGTTACGCTTATCGCTTTCTTGTTATCTGTCTGTACAGTATGTCGTTGTTGCTTTGCTAGTTAAACGTCATTAGGACGAACATCATGGACTTTTGCCAGTTCTTAGGATGAATTACTAAATATATCATGCGAGTTACCCTCGTGGAGTTTCAGCTTTTCTCCTCGGCGTACCGATCTCAAAACTATTTGTTAACCATACAGATAGATACAACTGAAGAAGAAAACAGAAATTCAAAGCAGCAGAATCAGATCAAAGCAGAGGGATTGATATCGAAGATGAAGTCTGCTGACAAGTAGCGATGACCGAAAGAAAGACGAACGTAATGGGGCAAACGAATATGGGTCCAATACATACGAGACTGGTAATATTGTAGGAGGAAGTCGTCGGGTAGAGAGTAACGATGTATGTGAAGGAGTAGCAGTCAAGAAGCAGAGACAGTGGTGTTTATGGTCCTCCACTCGATAAATGCCGACGGGCACAATGAGTGTACACGTGCACGGACAGCTAGCTGTAGTACTGAACATCAATGTTCAGAGCCGCCCGAGCAGTCTCACGCATCCAACGTCGCTCTCTTCATGTTGACCGGATGTTCCCACCAAGGAGTATTGGCCAGACCTTCCGTTTACTGAGCCAGAATCGTTCATCTGACTCTGGATGAAGGTCGCATCTTTCTCAAGCTCAACATCAGCTTTGATTTGAGTGGCATCCGGTTGATCAGTTGCAGTAGCAGGAGCAGGAGTAGCGCTGATGGATGGAAGGGGTTTGGCCACGTCGCCGGAGGGAAGTTGGCTCTTTCTAAGCTGAGCGTTGCGCATGGCGACCTCTTGGTCTGATAACTGCTCCATCAGAGCCTGAGCCTCAGGGATGCGATAAGGGTTCTGCATGGGTCTATGGCTGACAAGCATGGCAGTACAGGTGCACGCTTGTGTGCGATGTGTCTAGAGTATACAGAGTATGAGCGCTGTTCACAGCTATGACGAGGAGAACGTACCTCTTGGACATAGGCAGCACAGTGGGTCGGGGAGCAAAAATGAACCATCTTTGATACGTAGTCGGCATGCGAGTGAATACCATGCCCGCACCCGGTGCAAGTAAACTGGCAGTATGTAAGTACACAGAAAATGAGCATAACAGCCTGCTGAAAGCCCACCTTGCTTGCCGCGAGAGAGGGAGGTGAAGTGAACCATTGGCATTGGCAGGGGTTACTACCGTCAGCCTCTAGGCATCGAGCTCTGTAAGGCATCTTTAACGGTCCCAGTGTGCGATTTCCATTGATCGTTATCGTATCGCGAAAGAGTGGGATGGAAGTTGAAGTCATTTGTAGGGCGGCAACGAAGACGACTGTACTAATGGTGGTAGCAGGATGTGAACCAATGGGCAATGATCATCAACCGATTACAGCATCTCTTAGAAAGTTTTCCCACGGACCATTAGCGCTCTCAAAGTTGTCTCAGTCACACTCGAATCATCACCGGCCTTGATATCATTCAACACAGCGCATGGGGCTGTCGACGCCGGCGCCAATTAAGGTAAAGGCAGACGTTTGTACCTAGAAGAATGCCAAGTTCGGCACGAGGCACTTACTGCCGACCGGGGCTCAGGGAACGGACTCGGAATTGATAGATTGTCACGATAGCTGAGGAAATCGGTCAAGACTTGACAAGGCTATTGCTCTATATCATATCTCTCTATTGCAAAAAGAAGTATTCTTGCAGCATACATTTGTAGGAACTGATCGCCGCCGTATCGCCATCTCGTCGAAACACCACATTACTTTACACAAACTTCTTGGCCTGATACTCCACGACAAGAACTACCCTTCTCCAATCACTTTATCCTGTGATAGTAATCTTCTGGTCCAAGGGACAGCGGGCGGACTCGTACAGCTGGGGAATATGTAGGCGAAGGATACTGAAGAGGCTCAGAGCTCGGTGGACCCTTCTTCTCATCCAGATACTTCCAAAAAACACGCGACGGCGCTGAATTTCTCGATCTTCGTCGCTTGCGCAGCATGAAGAGTGCGAGACCTGATATGATAGACAAAAGCGCAAGTGAGCCGAGGACGCCACCTACGATAGCCCCCGTATGTGAACTGGGTTTAGTCTGCGCACTGGATGCCGATGCCGTTGTTGTTTGTCCTGCCTGAGGATCTAATCTGTGAAAAACTTTCAGGGATATGAGGGACTCGATATGATAGGACACACTCTGTTGTTGCCAAAGAGGTACTGGCTGTAACAGTTGTACCGAGGATTGTTGAGGTGGAAATAAGTGTTGGAGTCGTGTTTAATTCCACCGTAAACCAGGAGCTATTAGCATAATTGTTATGGTGTCTTAAGATCATCTTTTCAAAAGAGAAACCTAAATGCATGGCACCTGAAGCGTACCCGTTGATCCAAGCCAGCAGAATATAGTCCTTCACAACAGGGCTCGGCGAAGAGATATTGAAGGTCATATAGACGACTTTGTATTGTGTGAAATGTGTCACGACTTGGTTCACGGGAACGTGTAATAAGTGGTGATTTGGTACGTCCTCGGTCAATTTTCCCTGGTATACACCAAGATTGAATTTATCAGGGTCTCCTGACGTCCAGTGCAAGTTTATAGGAGTCCTCTGGAACAATACTGCGGGGCCATCCAGCGAAATATTTAGGGACAGCGCGAGAGGGAGGATGATTGCGAATATACACCTGCGTATTGGTGTTAATTACATTCACAGCAAACAAGCAAGCGACGCTGGCTTACATTCGAAAGAGTGAGAGAGACATGGCAGGAAAGAGAGCAGGCAACAATCGTTGGGAAGAAGACCAAACGTTTCGCCTTTTGGCCTTGGATGTGGGTCGCGATGGGTGGGTGATATCATGATCGTAGCGTGTAGGATGTGTATGGGGTGTTCATCGCCAGTACTGATGGTAGTAATCACAGCACAGATCAAGAGCTCCATCCAAAGGAGGTTCACATGAAGTCGGAGTTTCGGAAGTACAGTATCAAGTAGGGAGCGCTCGGTAAAGGTAGAGATGGCGGAGGCAGCTCCCGTATCCGAAGTCACATAATTCGACTACGAATCTGATTCGGTTATCAAATTCAAGTCTCTAACTTCCCTAATAGGATGATCATGATGGAGACCAAAACTAATATAAAGATCAGCGATGGGTTCAAGCCGGCGGCGCTGCCCCCCCAAAGCGCCGGTAGGTATGGATGTGGAAACGTCGTCGCTAAGTCCTACAAGGAGCCTTCAAATACTGAGAGTTACTCTGGTAGGGAATCAAGGTAGCATTGCGATACAGATTTTGTTTTGTTTTGATCGCGAATTTGTCGTTTCAGCGTATGTTTGCTGTACCCCAGTACCCTCTTCGGGGGACTTGGCTTAAACACTCAAAGCGTTGTTGCCTCCGACCATCCTTGTGAATATACACCTAAAACCATTGTGAACACATTCGACGAGCGGGAATGGACTAGAACAACTTACAGATTACTGACCAGATAATAAAAATAGGCAGACTGCGAGAAAGATAGGAGAGCAGTGTGATCACGATATCGCAGTGCCCCAACGTCCTCGTTCAAGTTAGCTAGATAAAAGGGCGCTCAAATACTCAGTGAGTTGTGATGATAGAAATGATGGCATTGCGGACAGGGAATCAAATTTCGCATGGGAATTACAGTAAGCAGATCTCCTGCACTAAAACTGTGTTTGGCCTCGTCGCGTGGTCAGTTCTGAACTTCGTTCCTTAGCCGTTGGAACTAGGAGGGCTAGATCGTATGAGTGATGAAGAAGACGAGCGATCTCAGGACAGGTATGAAGATGTACTTGAGCTCAAGTCGTGGTGTCGCCCTTCGTCAAGTTTCAGCACAGACATCGAGTAACTCGTATTAGTGTTTCAACATGAATGATAGCGTACTAGTCCAGCGAGACCTTTTTTAGGAGGGATAAGCACATATGCATGAAAACAAATTCATCAAACACACAGCAAGTTGTTACGACGGGAGATTAAAATGACGATCCGCTATGGCTTGTTCTCTCTTCGGCGCCACATAAATACATCGAATGGAAGATAAAGATCGGTGACAATTCGCAAAGACGCTATTGAGTGGGGTGCTGAAGTAGTATATTAGTGTTTCTTCTTTTCAATCAAGCGGGAGAAGACAGCACCGGATGCCGATTGCAAAGAAGCACATATGTGTTCCCATTAGCGCCTTCTTTTGGTTGGCATGCAAATCTTATCTATTCAAGTACCAGGATTTGAAGCATGTTACGTTGCGACTCACTGAACAAATACGACTTCGTATGATCAATAAAGTAGACGCGTCGCGGAGGAATTACATAACTGGCGTTAATGGTCATTCATTAGATACTCTTCGCAGTATTTTCATTACGCAGATACCAACGTAGGTTCAGGCCGAGGGCCAGAAAAATGGTTATGAAGCAATTGATCCCTGCGGGACCAGTGATCCTTCAACTAAAATTCGCCATCTTCAAGATGTCTAGGTGTACAGAGGCTAGTTGGCAAGAACAGAACGTAGGTGCACGTGCAGTTGTATGAAGACGGCGAGTTAATAGATGATGATGGTAGCATTTCAAGGTTTGGGTCCCTGTGCCGGCGGCCGACCAAGACAAGCGCAAATAACGCGTACCGGCTCAATTTGAGCTTAATTCAAATTTAGTCCTCCATGTCGTGTCTGTCGTGTCTCGCTGCCTCTGCCGAAGCATGTCGAAATAGCATTAAAGAAAAATAAAAACCTTATACATTGCTCACCGTCGTGTCGGGCAACGGTGGGAGTGGGCGGGGTAGTGGTCGGTGGGGCGGGGAACGATCTTGATTATAGTTCGACATCTATGATCTCGATGATCACGATCCAAGCCGTTTTCAGTGTGATCGATCTACCGATCTCGGAGCAACAAAAGGAGAGATGGAATGAAAAGTTGAATAAAGCATCCCTCTTTTAGCCCGCAAATTGGTATGACCTCGAAAAGCTGAGCCCTGTCGCAATTGGAGGAGGGAACAGTAGGTGATTCTGGCTCGGAATCCTCCCCGGGCCTGAGTTCTCTCCAACAATTTAGGATTTCCCGAAAAGATATTGCCATGAGACGACATCACCATTAGGAAGGATTGAGTAGGCCTGGAAGAGAAGTTACGCGGTCGACTAATGGTCAGTATGTCTCGGTCTTTAGCGGACGCGTGGGGTTCCATAACATCCTACTTAAACACTGAAGCGCTTACAAAACATCGAAGACAAACGGACAACAGCAAGCCAAAGCGATAAATATGTATCATAGGCAAAAGAGAAAGAACTGATAGCGTATTCTGAGGGGGAAAAATGATTGGTGATCGATGCATCCCTAGCAAGGTGGGGACAAATAGAACGAAGCCAAGGAGAAAATGAGAAATAACGATCGAAACCAACAAATTGAGGAGTACAGATCGGAATCTGACTTGATATCCTGTAGCCGAAACATCAGTGGTGAATGGGGAGTGAAGAGTAGAACAAGGAGGGATCGCAACAAGAATATAGAATACATGCAGAGACATCAAGAGTCGTATGCAGACGAGGAAATACCAAGGGCCGTCACAATGAGGTATAAGGGAAATTTATGTACCGAAGATTCGGGCAGGACAAGGTTGTGGTTAGTGTCTGTAGTCGTGGACTAAGCGTACGGGCCCGGCCAGGCATCAGGTATAGCCCCGTACGTCACATCCGAATGATCATGGTAATAGAAACGCTCATTTGTCCCGTCGCTGTCTAGCTGATGCGAGTGGGAGCTCTCCTGACGTTGGCTAGAATAGGCGTCACAGTTATAAGCTTCGGCCTGTATGGTATCCAATTGAAGACTAGATGGGTGACTATCGATAAAAGGGAAGGAAGTGGAAACGAGAGCGATGTTCCCCTAGCACCGGAAGGGCTGAATGTATGGGAACTGATGAAAGGGGAGAAGATAGGCGCCAGAGTGATTGGTATCGGGTCCGTGTCGCCGGAAGAGAACTTAGCGTTATAATCGAATAACACGAAGCTGCGCGCGTATGGACCATTGATGGTATCATTGAAATGGTCCAAAACAGTCCATGGATCCAAAAAACGATACGAGTTATCGATAGCAATATGCTCGCAAAATTGTGCTTCACAGGCGCAACGTTGTATAAGAGACGTCTACAACATAATTCGTGAATTTCGGATACCGTGCGGAGTGGGGAGCAGCATACCTTTTGTACATATGCGGCACATTGATTCGTGGGATAATGATTGAAGATTATCGAAACATAGTCGGCATGCGGGTGAATACCGCGTGCACACAGACCGCAGATGTTCTGGGAGAACATGAGCACGAGAACATGGGTATGGAGGCCACAAATGAGTGTCTACCTGATCTAACAGGGGCGACTCAGGAGGGAAGAACCGTAGACACTAGCAGCGTTGGATGCTGTCAATGACCTGGATACACTTTCCTCTCGATGGCAAGTCAGTTGAAGACATAGAAGCCGAGGTGCTGAGTGCAGCACTGGTAGGAGAGAGGGCGATAGAGGTTGGGGTTTGTCGTGATGCATTTTGATAGCCCAAGTAGTCACAGCGGAAGTACACTTGGGATGGTGATAGTATATATGGGGCGAAGGAGCAGAGATGAAGTCCATACTATCATGTACGACACAAAGCATGTCATTATGGCAGGGTCTACATGTGGTGTACCTTTGATGGGTCGGACCAGAGGTTTAAACCTTCGTGGGCGTGTCTGCTTGAGGGGATTGATAAAACTCTGTGACAAGAATTTGAAGAAAAAGCCGAAAGGATAGCTTAGGTCACGCCCTTTTGCTGCCAAATCTTGATCAAAGAGGCGATGTTTCCGAAATAAAATTGGTCAGGCACGTCATAATGACGGAGGTAATAGAGGAAAGGCTTACCGCCCGTCGACAATTCAGATCAGAAACGAACGAACTGCTATCCTGCATCAATGTCTAATGGGCCCGGGGCCGTAATCTGGATGCAGCCGCTCTAAAGGAATCCCAGCCGCCAGTCATCTAACCCGTTGCTATCGGAGCCAGCTGTTTGAAAGCGGAAACGTCGTAACCGTGACTCGTGGCAAACCAACATGTCTGGATTCTGAGAAAGAGTGCAAAAAGAAAAGAGGAATAAGCTTTCAAGCTTTGAGGTCGCTGTGGAATTCAACTAGTTCTATCAGAACTTTTTGTCCAGACCTCGGAATCTGCAACGTGGTCTAACTGATGTAACTAGGAGTTACTAGGACCCCGAAACTGGTCGCCTTTCGTCCATGGCAAAAACGTCCGGGGTCCTGGATGTTGGTCCCTATTCGATCTCCTATTTCCCAATCTAACATTTACTGCACATGCTTTGCGTCGTACATGGGTGTGGACTTCATCTCTGTTCCTTTGCCCCAAGTGTACTTCCGCTGACTACTTGGACTTTAAAAATGCGTCATGACGAGTCCCAATCTCTATCGCCCTCTCTCCTGCCAGTGCTGCACTCAGCGCCTCAGTCTCAATGTCTTCAATCATCTTTCCATCGAGAGGAAAGTGCATCCAAGTCATTGACAGCAACCAGCACTGCCAGTGTCTATGGTTCTTACCTCCAGAGTCGCCCCTGCTAGACCAGGTAGGCTCTCATTCATCTTCACCCATACTTCCGTGCTTAGGTTCTTCCAGAACAACTGTGGTCTGTGTGGACACGGTGTTCACGCGCACGTCGACTACGTTTCAATGGTTGTGCATCACTGCCCTGCGATGAATTGTGGTGCATACTTTCCTAAGGTACAATTGCAATATACTCTCCGTCGTAATGTCTGAGATAATGTTCATGAATCTTACTGCAGACGGCCCGGGTACAAGCATGCACATGCTCGGCATCTCTCATCGATCATATACCTGTTGTGAATGTGTATCGTTCGCCTACGCCTCTTCCCTACGGGGCGGATATATCCGTCCATGATAATGGCCCCCCTTCCAATGTCAACACATTCACCGGTGACACGACGAACATCCCACTCACTCCGATGCCGATGCCCTCTCCCTCCACTAATGCTAATCCATCCTACCCTTACGGCAACACAATGATCTTCTCACCTACCCCGCTGCCTGTTACTCAAACGACTATCACTCAGTTTGACGCTCATTCGAACTCGGAAGTGGGGGGCTCTTACGGCGCTCAGTACCGGGGCAGTACCTCCAGCGTTAACGTGCAGGACCCGAGCGCGAGATTTCGCGAGGATTATTTGACCACGACCTCCAACGCGGTGCGTGGCACGGAAGCCTGGGAAGATCAACTCGAATAAGGGTATCTACGAAAGGATTCTATCTTTCATCTTCAGCTCTTTCGTCGTTTGGCGTGTAGAGTAACACATCATAAAAACGTCTGTAACACAACATGTATGTACATTTTGGATATCGTCTTGTTTATCGTCTGTCGTCTTAGGGTACCCGCTTGTGATGTCTATCGTCTTGCTCTGCTCTGAATTATATGCGTTTTATTATTTGAATAATGCAATGAATAAACGCATTTAAGACCTCATATGTCCTAAAATATTCTTGCTACGAGACGGAAATTTGCTTCAAGTGGCCTGAGTAGTCGCTAGATGTACCGGAGGAGCTGGGTATGCTAGCTTCGAGTTCCTTGTAGCCCTCGCTCTATTTTGTCAGCTTCTATCACATGAAAACCCGATTCAAATCCTGATGGAAGCTTCATAAGAGGGAAAATACGCAGAATCAAAGTTTTTCTTACCTAGGAACTATGATAGAACAACATCGCATTGTCGACAACTGTGTACCGACAGGCAAGCGGGTCAGCGATCTCATGTAGCAACTTGTCCCGCTTGACTCTCGTTGTTGATCCTCTTCTCCGCCAACCCTCTCAGCTAACCAGCGCTTTCCCTCCTTCCTTTTCGCCCCAAACCGATATCCATAGCTTGCTTGATCATCCATTATTTTCGTACGCCGCCCTTTGTATTCTGGGACCACTGCTATCGAACATCGAAGGGGTGCTAATGGATCGAGGGCCTGTTCCGGATAGAAATCGACAAAAGTCATCGGTGGATTGCTTGAAGTAAGACAAGATCTCGAATGAGAAAGAATAGAAAGTGATGAGATGGTACGGGGCGCCAACTAACTAGGGAGGATAAGGAAGGGACAGGCCCTCCGCAACGAGTTCTAGAGAAAGAGAACGTAGGGGATGACGTTTGGCTCGTGAAAAAGTCCAGGAAGAGATACAGATAGTACCATGCTTCAAGCGTCCTCAAGTCCTCGCTCCAACATACAAGCCTACGCCATGCATTTCCCATGAGCGACGACATCAGTATCTAGGCCTTCGTAGCCGTTTATGACAACGTCCCATGGAAGACGATATTCCGACGTGCGACGTCTTGATGAGCTCCGTGTGGGTATAGTGGCGGCGCGGGGGGTTGCGTAGATTACGCATGGCAAGAGAGGCAGGCACCAGTGAAAAGAGATGAGCCTTCTTGGAGGACTTGCACAATACATAGAGAGGGACAACGCAAATGTTTGGCGGACAGTCTCATCCAGAGAAAAGCCTGATAGAAAGAGACGGGGTCCGTCACCGGTGGCCGACAGCTGAGTTACATAAACAAGTGCCTGCAGATTTAAAAGTTGCCGGCAGCTTTAAAAGTTGCCGTAACGTCGGCTGATCGTATCTGTCCCGGTGTGTCTGTCGCCACCCTGCTCGAACGTATAAAAATGCGCCGGGTGAACCCCTACTTTCGTCACTTCCTTTTTCATTATCACGCTCAGCAGTAGCACCCGTTCACTAATGTCCTCAATGACAGACCTACCTTTGAGAGCCGGATGCACGGTCGCTCCGGACACTATCCACCATTGTCAGTGCCCGTCGTTCATACCCCCTGCACTACCCATGCTAGATCAGGTAGGCTGTGACTCTCCTTCACTGGTACTTTCATTGTGTTTACATGCCCTAGACCATCTGCAGTGTATGTGGACATGGTGTTCATGCGCACCGCGACTATGTTTCAATGTTTGTCCATCACTGCCCTGCGATGAATTGCGTTGCGTACTTTCCGAAGGTACGGTATATTCTCTGGCCGTGGTGTCTGGAATAACGCTGATACAGCTCATTGTAGACGGCCCGGATACAAGCATGCACATGTTCGGCGTCTCTCATTGAGCATATACCTGTCGTGAATGCGCATCGTTCGTCTACACCTCTGCCCTATGGAACGGGTGTATCTATCCATGACAGTAACCTCCCTTCTAATGTCAACACACTCAACGGCGACACGACGAACCACCCATTCACTCCGATACCTCCGTCCACTAACGCCAACCCATCCTACCCTTACGGCAACGCACTGATCTTCACACCTACCCCGCAACCTGTCATTCAAATGGACATCACTCAGATCGACGCTTATTCCCACTCGGAAGCGGGAGGCTCTTACGGCGCTCAGTACCAGGATAACCTCAGCGTTAACGTCCAGGGCTCGAGCGAGAGCGCGAGGTTTATTTGACCAGGTCCTCCAACGCGGTGCCTGCCGCGGAAGCCCAGGCAGGTCAACTCGAATAAGTATGGGCAAGAAAGTTCTATCGTCATCTCCAGCTCCTTCGTCGATTGGTATAAATAGTAACGCGTCATAAATCATCTGTAAAACACAGCAATGTAACAATGTATGTACATCTTGGATATCGTCTCGTTTTCTCATGCTTAGTGTACTTGTTTGTCGCGCTTATCGCTTTGCTTTGTTCTAAAATCATATGTGTTTTATTTATCTAAGTAACAAAACAAGTCCTGAATGAACGGGTTTAACACCTAGTTGGTCCCAAATATATTCTCGCTGCGAGACGGTAGACTGTTCCAGGTGAGCTGAGTGGTCGCTAGATGCATTGGAGGAACTGGGAATGCCAGGTTCCAGTCCCTCGTAGGCCCTTGTCAAAGTCCTGAAGAGAGTTCCATGAAAACGAGCATAAAATAGAAACTTCCCTTACCTAGGGAGTACGATAGAATGACGTTGCGTTGTCGATGAACGTGCAATACCATATCCACCAGTAGCGATGGCTTTACTGGTATCTCCGAGCTTTACAGATGAGGTTCCACAGGATATTATGCAGATATCCATGAACGCAAAACTGGGAAAAGACCGTTCGTATGATGCCTCGTCGTCAAAGGGAAATGGACCTAAACACCACCGTTGGGAAAGACAGACGCTGAGATCCTGGAGAACGGCGACCATGGGATCGAAGACGCCTGAATTAAGTATGAGCTTGTGAGTCCTGTCGACAGATGACTCTGGTGATTGAGGGAAAGGCGACCTTGGAATGGAAGACGGCAAGGTAAGTGATGCTAGCTTTGAGAGCCACCGTCGATGAGTAAGGTCAGAGACAGCGGCGCTGAGCCCAGAAAATCAACCATGGTGTATACAGATGTCAGAGATATGGAAATGCCGCACCCAGCATGCTCCTCAAGTCCGCTTCATCCGTGATTCTTCCATCTTCCAAACCTCCGCATTCTGGTGGTCGGCACTGATTACAAGAGCTAAACGACCTGGATACAACAGAACGCCGGCACAGAGATGGGGCAGTGGTGGTGTTGGTTGGATGGAGACGGGTGCAGTAGCAGTCGAAGTGTTGTCTCCTGCATAGACAAGGCCAACCCAGCGCCGAGCTGCCTTATAAACAGGATTTTCTTTAGTATAATGGGGCGGAAATTCTAGACTTGAGCTTGGACTTCTGGAGAGCAAGCTTAGCTGACGGAATTATAGCATGAGTAGGAGGTTGAGGATGTGATTTAGGCCATTATCGGCGTGTCACAGAAAGCGTGACCCTACTGCTGACCTATCATCATCATCATCATCATCATCATTACACGGCACGGTACCTTCAGGCACGCCGGACGCAAACCTATCGACGCGCCAACAGGCTTTAGTGACCGGAAAGTGACCTTTTGTGAAACAACCACCATCCGAAACTCTCTGTCTATCGATCTCCAAATATCAAGCTCGGACATCGATAGCGATGCAGGCTGACTCTACGTATTGCGGCTCGCCAGGTCAATCGAGAAGCAGCGTCAACAAGGGAGGGAGCCAAACTTGACTGATACTCAGAGGTGAGGTGATTATATTCATCCATCGTGGCTCATTCGACTGAACGATCAAACGTTTACAGCTGATCTTAAGCACTTCTAAATCTATAACCAGAAGTGATGATATTTTGCTCCGGATAGTCGTTGAAGTATAAGGATCAGGAAACGGTTGGAGGGAGCTCGTGGAGATAAGGAGGGGAGGTGTACGGGATGTGAGCATGGGCCGCCGGCACAGGGTCCCGATCAACTGTTGCATTGCTTCCACCATCGCATTTCTCCTAGTCTTCATACTACAGGCATCCGTATGCTCCCTTTTTGCAGTTAACGTCTCTGCCACCACTTTGAAGACGTCGTTTTTTGGTTGAGGAATGCGATGCTCATTGCTGGACCCACATCGATGCGTTCAGTTGACTTCGCCCTATATACTACATGTGTTCTTCCTAAGCTTGAATCTACATAGACGTCGCGCACCGAGAATGCTGCAAAGACTCAAGAGTGTCCTGTGAATGGCTGTTTACCTCCATTGATCGCAGAAGGGACAGGCTTGTTCAACGACTCGCAACATACGAAAATCCATGGCGATGTCTGTTTCCCTCTTTCTGCTCTCCGTTGCTGCGGAGTATGCATCAAGACAACCTCTTCCCCTTCCCTAATCCCATCCGCGTGGCATCACCCTCGATTACCACCAAGCGCCGATTCATAACAACGGGAGGAACTATTCCCTTCACTGTTACATATATTTTCCGGACCTTAATCTTATTTTCTGCGCTCCAGGATATATATGCCATGATGCCAGCCCCATCTTATCACTGGAATATCCTGAAGACGACTCCTGCGGTCATCGTCTACCCACCGGCCAACTCAAACCCTGCCTATACCACATTCTTCACTGAGCCATAGGACTATGTCACCGGATTTCTAGCCTAGGGCTTATACCGCCGTCTTCGGTGACAATGACGAAATAATGCCTCTACCGTTATTGATGGCATCTGTATTCCCGGATCAGGGACTGTTGACGCTCAGGCTACTCGAATCCGTCGCCTAAAACCCTTGACTGATGGTTGACCTATTTTACCGTGATGCAAGCCATGCTTCTGTTACTCCGTCACATATATCTTCTGTAGGCCTGTTTCCGTATCTTCCTTCCAAAGGACATTGTCTTAACTCATCGCGTACCTTTTTTCCGGTAGTGTTTATCCTCAAGTTCGACTACCGCAGCTGCCAGAACAGCACCAGGAACAATCGCATTCTTGAAGGCTACGAGCGTCTCCGATGAATGTACTCAAAGTAGACCAACATCGCAACGTGGTTTTCTCTTCGAAACGGCACGCTCAGCCGATGCTCGTATGGAGCTTTGAGCGGTGCCGTCGTACCTCTCTTTCTTGTCAGATTACTGATTGGATCAGATGATACATGTGGATGTATTATTTGCTTCTGTATGCTCGATTTCTCTCCCGTCGGCGCTGAGTTCAGCTGCTAGTGCGATAATTATGAAGAGGAATCCATTTCCGACTCTTGCGGGATTCAAGGGCGGTGCGCTGGAAGAAAAGCAGTCGCCTGTACATCTTTGGTGAACTCATTTAATGCTTTGTCACCGTATTTGTGAACGCACCAGTCAATGGTGTATGTTCTGATAATAATTTGTTTCCAAAGCAATTACAAAACGATAGGACAGACGAGCAACGACAAGTAAAAGCGATGAAGGTAATAGATATATCATAGACCGGAGCCGAAAAAAATGGTAGCCAAATATTGGCAGAACTGATTAACAAATACAACAGAGAAAACGAAAAAGACAAGACGTAGCACGAAGGAAAAAGCATCAAACCGAGCGTAACAGAACTGAGGGCATTAAAGGCTGAAGTCCTGCATCGCAATAATGACTGGCGAGAGAAAATCCGAGCGGGGAAAAACAAAAAGTGGGGTGGGTATAATCGATCACCAGCAATGGAACTGAGATCGAGAATCGATGACATAGAAATAGCGAGCATGATGACAATGAGGAATAAAAGAAGTGATCCGACGATGAGTCGGAGGAGGGAAAGGAAGATAACAAGAATTAGGATGTTGCTATGGATCAAGCGCTGTATGGGCCCGACCAGGCTCCAGGGGTTTCAGCGTACATTGTATCCCCATAATCCTGGTATTCGAAACTCCCATTGGTCGCGCCACCCTCAAGCTGACGATCATAGGGTGAGTTAACGACATAGTTCGGATACTGAGTGAAGGGGCCATTTGAGCTATGACCTCCCGGGGTCTGGGTGGTATCGGGTTGAGTACCGGATGAGATGACCGTGCTGTTAGCATAACCCGAGTGATTTTCCGAGTAAATGGGTTCGGGGGTGAAGGGAATGCTCCTTGCGTCGCCAAAAGAAATGGTGCCGTTGTAATCAGTGGAAGGAATGGAACTGGTGTTCGGGTCGGATGAACTGTTGCGGTCGTAGGTATAGCTGTCCGAGGTGGAAGAGCCATTACCGTCTGCACTGAAATAGTCCGAAACAGTCCATGGCTCTCGCAAATAATACTCGGAGTTATCGGTAGCGATGTGCTCGAAAAATGGCGCTCCACAGGTGCAGAGCTGTGTTAGAGTCGTCTACAATGCAAGTCGTTGTGAGTTCAGGATACCGCTCGGAGCGGAGAGCATCGTGCCTTTTGAACATACGCGGCGCATTGATTCGCGGGGCAACGATTAACGACGGTCGAAACATAGTCTGCATGCGCATGAATACCGTGTCCACAGAGACCGCAGATGTTCTGAGAGAACGTAAACATGAGAATATAGGTGAATTGAATGAGAACCTACCTGATCTAGCAGGGGCGACACAGGAGGGAAGAACCATAGGCACTGACAGTGCTGAAAGTTGTCAGAGAGTTGGATGCATTGTCCTCTAGACGGCAAGACAGTGGAAGGCATAATGAGTGCTGGTGAGGCGCAGAGTGTAGCACTGGTAGGAGGGAAGAGGATAGAGATTGGGGTTCATCTTGGCGGTTTTTATTTAAGGTCCAAGTAACTGTGGTGGAGGTGAGGAGGAAAATACACGGTCCTGATCCGGCATCCTAATCGTGCAAAGCGCCGGGTGGCGGTGGCTGTGTCATATTACCTAGTCCCACTGAAGCGCGAGATTTGAGGGCCCAGATTTGATAATAGTTACACCTCTCCGTGTCCGCCAATCTCAGATCACTTGAAAGGTATGTAAAATTTACATTTGGTCGAAATCAATCCAAACTTATGGACGGCTTCAGGCTTTCAGGATCTACAAGGGAACGTATGGAATATAAGACTGGTACGCTCATTTCAAATGAGATTGTGCCTGAGCACCCCGGCACCTTGCCATTGCTGTATATGGATAAGGTCTTGTGATTTTTATTAATCAGACTTGTTATTTGCCATAAGCAGCTATAGACTCAAAATAAATCAATATATATAGATACTTAAATAATTTATTAAAATTCTAATCTGGGTTCACGAATAGCTGAAGTCAAGGGAGTAAATGAGATCCTATCTCAATCCTATCTTGGTCCATCATCCGGCTTCTCACTCATCAATTTAGGTATGATGCTTCTCTGATCTTAGAGCTTGAGGACACAGTTAATATCATATTTGCACTGAAAAGTCTATTAATTGGGAGATATCGCGATGGGACGATCACTGAAGCAGTTTGCTGACCGATATTGGTGCGAACCTGAAAAGGCCTGTATCGATAAAATCAGCACCACAGAAGACCAATTTGGCCCAATTCTTGACACCATTATCCTTGCGAAGGTGATGGACATGGCCTGCATCTTTTCGCGTATCCCGACTCGTTCATACTATCCCAGCTTTCGTGAGTTAGTCATTTCTTGAATGTGAGAGCCTTCCTAATCCTGTCTGGTAGATTCGGGAGCCGCTGGAGCAATGGACCGTGAAGTTGAATGAACTTTACACATCGCTTGGTGCATATAGGAACAGATCAATGCCAAGTCCATGGGCAACTAACCAACAAGAGAATGTCTATCGCGATATTTGCCTCCTGGTGAACAACCAGAAGGATGAGTTCATCAAAACCTACACCAATGCCCTTTGTATTTTGGATGGCATCGCTTTTCATATTCGCTCGGTGCTTTGCCTTGTAAGGGGATCCAACACTGTTTAAATCAACTTCTGATTGTTTCTTTGCGAAAACTTTCATTCGTAAAGGTAAGATTCCCTTAGTATTCATGGTACTCGCTCTAACTGTAAGGTTTGAACACTCGGACCACCTCAGAACTACAATGATCTTTGAGGAGACTTTTGAACAAAATGTGCAACGTTGGAAGAAAGCTTTCATTGATGCCGTTGCGATATCACCACTCCTGCTCATTCTGTACCCAGGTTCCAGAGAACATATCTCCATCTCACTTACTTTACAGGTAGGAGTTTTTTTTTACCATCTCGCAAAGGTATCACTGATGTTTGCTTGCAGGTCGGAGGACGACTTGCATCTTATGGAAAACCGGAACTCCTCCAATGTATTGAGGAAATGCTCTGGCGTTGTATTATCGGTGTCGCGTGGGGCTGTTGGACAAGTGACACTGGATTGACAAACTTCTTGACTGAGGCTGCACCATTGATCCGAGGTGACTCTGAGGGAGCGGATACCTGGTTTTCTGATGCATTTGCTGCCCTTGTTCAGTGTAACCAAATCCTTGGCCTGGAGGTTCGTGTAGGATTGGCAAATGTTGCTTGGCTTAATAATAGTCGAAACTTTAAGGGAGCTCGCAAGGTGGGACCCCAGGCAGAACAACGCAGAGGACGTTCATCATCGCCAGCACAGAAACACCGAGTAAAACGGAAACCAAGGTCTTGCAGTGCCCCTCCTCAATTACTTCTTAATGCCTGCCACCTCCCAGCTTTTACACTTGGTTCGATTCCCAAGGTTCACCGCCTCTTGACATTGCAAGTGGAACAATGGGGCCACAGACACTTTCCGGCGCTCTGGCCCCATCCACCAAACACTGGCTTGAACATTAACGACCTCCTCACCATTGAGCTTGGTCAAATCGGTGAAGACGGTTCTTTGTTTGTTCGAGCAAACAAGTATCCCTTCTTGTATCACCGAAAGAGGCAACGATCTACATCTGTATCAGCTAGCCGAAAACAACTAAAACAAGATCGCAACCTAGCTTGTTCTGGAACAATGGTTGAGTCTCCCCCCATTTTAGTGGGTGAAAGATACCATACATTCTATTATTTGCCATTGCTTAGTAACATATGTCACCCATCCCTTTTTCGAAATCCTATAAATGATGTTTTTTAGGAGGTTCAAGATCGAGCGTTGCTGGATGGATGGCATAAGTGCTGTATTAATGCCTCAGTTTCACTTTCTGTAGCACCTGCTGTAGAGTCAGCACTGGTATATCGCCTGGATTTCGATTTGGCCATCAACAATCCTGTTCGCACTCTTGAACGTTTTTGTGACCACAACATACTAGTGGTTGGTGCAACGACATCTCAGATCACTTGGACGCTGTCATCACTTTCTAAGATCGGAAATCCTCATGCAAATCGAGATTTTCAAGGTTTGTGTTTTTTGTTTGCAACACAACAATATATTAACACAGTATACAGACCACCAAGGACAGGGCCATGACATGCATCTGTCTTTACGTGAACTGCATGAAGAAAGCCAGGAAAATGAAGGTCTTATTTTGAGTGCGCTTCGTCTGCCCTGCCACACCCAGGATTTGCATCCCTTACAACTGTAAGGAGCGAAAATGAACTCTTGTTTCAAAACTGACTTATTTGTAGAATTTTTTCCAGTGACATGGGAGTTTTCAAACAGACGTCTGTTAACACAGAGCGCATCTTTCAGACAGAGGGGTATCCTGCATCCACCACCCACTTCTGGTATGTGGCAACGAAAAGTGCTATTGACCGCATCAAGCCCTATTGTCTTGGGGTTTGTACAGTTATCCAAGTTCATTGTGGCCGCCAGCTTTGGTACCTCTTTCAACGTCACGTTAAAAAGCGTGACAAGTTGATACATGTGTACCATGACTGGGATTCTGACTTCGTTAATGACCCAAAGCAATGGAAAGCAGAAGTTGTTGTCCTCGAGCCTGGTAATGTCCTGTATGTCCTTTCAATGATATGGTGTGATTACTGCTGATAACAAGAATAGTTTCATTCAACCAGGCACTCTTCATGCAGTAGTGACACTCGAAAATTCCATTGTCAGAGGACAACATTTTTACACTACTACAACTTTGTCAAAAACTGTTTCGGGTCGGGTTGATACTTATATACATGGGGTTGAAATCGAGAGAGTTCTGTACTTCCAACTGAGGGATCTCCTCTTTCGACTGATTTTGTACCTTGAAGATGGGCTGAACACTGATAGTAAGCCAATCAACTAATTGTTTTCTCTGATGCCTCATCAGGATGGTTTCAGGCATAGAAAATGATTCGTCCAAATTCAAGGTCAATACAGCTGAAGGGCTTCTCGACATAGTTGCACTCAGCAACTTGCTCCTCTCCCTTCCTGCCTTAGACATTGTCACTATTTTCGATGCTCATAAACCAGATGCATATGGGCCACTCAGCAAGGGGAGACAGGCATATTTTGACATAATATATCGTCTTCAGGAGCAGTACTCTCTGATTCTCTTTCCCGACACACCACTTGCCCATGATGCATTCACCAAACCTTTGGATTCTCTGGTCTCACTTCGCATTGCTGATTTTGCAAAGACTTCTGCCATTCATTTTGCATGGTCTTTGATACTATCTGCAAGGAAAGCACAGGGTTGGCAGAAGGTGTACTTGAAGCCTTCAAACAGTCAGTGGAGAGGACACTGGACTTCTTTTTCGCTTGTACTGGAACGTTGGGAGACTGTAAATATGTGTCGATAGACTATTCCATCTTAGGCCCACTTTCTTCATCTGGCCAAGGGCCCGTCCACTTGGTATGTGATTTCCTGGACAGCATTCATCATTTAACCCAAATCATATAGATGTGACTGTAGATGAATGGGCAGTGATGGTGGTGAAAGAAAGAGTTGCTGAAGTCATGCAATCTCCGGACTGATCAGTATAAATGTACTTTCCCGTATATACTTCCCAAATATGTTATCAGTGGTTACGATTTTGGATGTGGCCTACCATGAAAACTTTGCTCTCTGTATTCAAATGCGCTATTGCATATTCCCAGAACGATTGTTACATTGGACCCTGAAGTCCTTTTTTCAAGGACATGTACTGATGACAAGTTTATCAGAAGCTTCCAAATGTCCTTATTCCCATCGCACTCATGTGTCTGATCCTATCTGAACTTCAAGCCTTATAAAAGCTCTCGTCAGGTGTGACATCAGCTCTCCCTCTGATATCATTGGTGACAGCCTTAACCCTGGGTCAACATCCTTTGCTGGGGCTGCCCCATTGCAGGAAAACAAGGCAGGTGCAGAGGCTTCAATCCCCATGGAGCAGAAATTCCAATCCTATGTACTCTTTCCAGACGGCGGATGTGGCAGAGAGCATTCACTCCGAGTCAGTAATTTTTATACACTCCGGTTCTGACCTTGATATTTTCCTCAGTGTGGAGAATGAAGAAAGTATTCCCACCAATGAGGAGACGAGTGCTGCGTTCATGACTAACCATAATCGTCAAAACAAGTGATCACTAGCGCCGAATGGCAGGATCTGGTGCAGTATGACCTTGGTGTGTGAGGACGCACAGTAGCAGACATGATATGGAAAAAGGGATGCGGAATGTGGGGGATTTTTGTACCTGGAACCCCTGTCGCTCGATGGCATTTCTGACTAAGCAGGCCATCCAGCTCGATGACCATTTTTCAAATTCTTTCATTGAGACCAAAAAAGGAAATCGAGTTCAGACATTGGACTACACTAATTATGACGCGTGCTCTCCATTCGACTTGTTCTAGTCACTCTGTTCATTCCTATGCATATAATTGGCTCATTTCTTTATTTCTTTAAGGTTGTATGATGATTTCCCTGCCTTTGAAGCATCTGAATCCTCCCGATGTGCCTCAGGCGGTGACTATCCACATCTCCTTCCTTCCAATGCTGGTCAGTAGTGACTTTGCCGCTACCATTGACAAGGAAGCATCAGGCAGAGAGACCATTCAGTGTTTATAAGAGAGACATTAGGCTGACACAATAATTTGTCCATTCAGTGTGGATGTCACAAGAGCAATGTGGGGATTGAAGATGGCTGGATCTTGTCATCTCAAACCTCAGTTCTCCATTTTATGGTATTAATCAGCATTTTCGATGTGTAGTTGCCTTCATCCATATTGGAATCTTATAGTACGCACCACAGGGCATGATTTTATGCGTCCTAGGTGAGAATAAAAGTGAAGAAAACACCCTGCCCAAATCAGGCATCATCATCCAGCTAAAGCGACTCAAGCCTGGCTTTAGCTGGCTCCTATATGGGCTTGAACCTAGAATGAGTCTGAGCCAATACAGACTCAGGCTCGCCTTATTACTATCGATCAATGGTCACCATAATCCTGAAGTCTTTTTTAAGCAGATATCACCCCATGACAAGCTAATCCGACTCTAACGTCATTGCTGTCTTCTATCTAAAATTGATCCGAAATACATGCCTGCATGCCGATCATTTCGGCCATTGCCTCTGGTGAAATAAAAGCCTCCGTCAGGTGTGACACCAGTCTTATCTTCCCCATCAAGATGCCATCGGATATCGTTGGTGACAGTCCCAACTTGGCGTCGAAGTCCTCTGCTAACGCTTCTCCGTTGCAGCAAGACGATCCAGGTGTAAAGGCTCCAAGCCCTAGGGAAGGTGGTATTGAGAACCCGAGTCCCGCAGCAGAAGCACAGACCTTCCAGTGAGTAATTTTTTCACCCCTGCATTTGGAGCTTGATATTGCTATCAGTGTGGAGGATGAAGAGCCCACTCCCGTACGTGAGGAGCATCATGCCCCGCATCCATGGCCAATCATGGTCATTGAAACAACCGAAGACTTCATGGACTTAGAAGACTTGGATGTTCACCGTATCATCACTGCCACCGAAGGTAGAGTCTACCTCGGCATTAGCATTCGGTATGCCAGGGAAAACTAAAGTTTCAGCTCTGTTATATTGGCTTCTGTGTCTTCACATACAGTTTTGGATTGAATGCAGTTTTATGAGCTTTGTTTACTGGTCTGTTGTATTTTCAATACATTGGAAATGTTGCTCTTCTCTTTTCATAATTTGGTTAATTCCTTGTGTTATTTCTGCAATATGATATTACGACGTGAAGATGACTCAGATATCTAGCACTTTTTCATCGTCATCCTTGTGTAGGAAGTGACGTCATGCACTTTATGGGAGGAAGGCAATAATTTGTATATAACAAGTAGCACAAGCAAGCAGCAAAGCTCGCTCCATTAGATTTGGTCACACCTTCAGCTGTCCATTTTTGCGTAATGATAGTCAATCTTCAAGGGCTCGAAAGATTGCTGACTGTCCTGACATCGATAAGGCTACTCGCTTCCCTCCTCTCTATTCGCTTCCACATACTGCCTGTGCTGCAGTTTCCTACCACTCTCCCAATGTATTGCACTCGGATGCTAGGAAATGCCAGGACTATCGACGGCAGAGACCATGACTATTGCAGAACTGACATGTCAACGTTGTATTTGTGTGGGAAATACAATCTGTGCTTTGCAGAGGGGGATTTAGCATATAGAGACCAATCAAAATGTGGCAGGTTTTGCATCAGTCTTTATACTAGGATTATATTGGATTCACAACATCCTCCCCAAAAAGTAGCCTCATTTGCATACCAAGTTAGTTGTATAGGTAACCCCTGTCGCTCGATGAGATTTATGACTAAGCAGGCCATCCAGCTCGATGACCTAATTTCAAATTCTATCATCGAGATCAAAACAGGCAATAGGTCTAGACTTCAGACTTTGCACCTTGGCTTCAAAACTGCCAGAAGCGTGTTTGCTGCTGCATATCTGGCGTGCAATGCACTCAGCGACCACTTCACTGAGAAGACACACAGCCAGGGAAGCCCGGAGCCCAGCAAGTGATGAAGCTTTGTTAAACGCAATTGCTATTCTGCCCATAAATTCATCCTTTCTTTACGCCTGAAAACAGTCTCGACTGAAGATGAATCACCATCTCCTGATGTCGCTTCTGAGGACTTCGCTTTCAGTCCTGACGCTCTTGAATCCGCAAATAAGCTGTCTTTTGAAGACTTTGTCCGACGCATCCTATCAAGCTCCTGCTTGACTTGGCCAAAATCACATCAGTGGAAACCATCTTACCATGTCACCAAATTATGCCGGCTTGAGTGCCACATAGCAGAGCTGTTTCAATTGTGAGAACTTGGACTCAAATTCAAGCAAATGAGCATCTATCTAGACCAGATTCAGATTCAGAGAAGGAGAACATGGTCTATTCATGGACGAGGTAGGCAGCATACACCAATTTCCTTGCCACCTTTTCTTATATGTCGTACCAGCAGACGACCTCATCATTCCGTTCCACAAGCACCAACCTCATCGTGAAATGCATCCCTGCCTGGACAGCCCCAAGTGCCTCTGGCCCGATTATAATACGATTTTCTCCTTTTTTTTGGAATGTATATTTTGAAACAGCAAGTGCAACCTGTAATGTAATTATGTACAGAGCCTGGAAGCTCATCCATGACAGGGGTGGAATCCAAGAATGCACAGATATATTTTGAGTGCGGGTTAGCACTTGAGTCATATTGCAAGAGGCAAAAAACGCAGAAACTAGTATGATTGACAGTCATTGCTTTACTTTAGCCACAATAAACATAGTTTTAAAATTGTTAGAAGAGAAACATAAATTGGCCAAAGGCTGTCATGAAAAAACACACATCCTTAGCGCATACAAGTATTTCATACGAAGGCATTATAGAACGGACTTGCTTGGTATGTACTCCGAGTGCATAGATTCATCCTCACCTGACATTGGTTCTGACTCGACATCAGATTCCTGAAGCTCCTCGGGAGCATCCTTCTTTTTCTCTGTATCATCGTCCTTTGACCCACTGTCATCTCCGCCATGGCCATCCTCTTTCTTTCCTAATTCACGGTCATCTCCATCACTATCATCTATATCATCTTCAACGTCAGAGCAATCAAAATCGGTGGCTGTATTCCAGTCGAAATAGGCACCCGGATCTGTTGTGATTGTTAGATTAGCATATGTGTCAAATTCCCCACTTACCAAGGAGGTCAACTTTCTTGTGAACCAAAAATATGGGCCTAACATGCAAACGTGCCACCTGTCGCTTGTACGCATGGAGAAAGTCGGTGGTCAGCTCCATTTGCAAAAAGGTCTCCAACGAATTTGCAACATCTTGACGAAATGAATCAAAATTAAACATGAGGGATTCATGTTCTCCCTGAGCCTTGCACACTCTTAAAGCCTTTCGAGCATAGAAGATCAAAGAACGCCCAAAGTGAGCCGTGGAGCTTCTAGCAAAATCCCCAATGTCAAGAAACCGAGCATAGACGCTTAATTTGTCGTCAACAAGGATGGTGGAATCGATGGAGGGCTCGATGGCATTATTTTCTGCAAGGAAAACTAAACCAAAATCCACCTGCAGACACCGGATTATGGATATGTAGGCACCTACGGCCATGGTGATTGCGGGCCTCGTGGCGTCGGCGGAGTCTGGCAGGATGCAAGGAAGTAAGGCTGATCCGAATATACACAGATTTCCCAACGCAATGAGTTCGAGCAGTCCGTCTCTTGTTATACTGGGAATGTCTGTGTCTTGAGCTAGTAGTATTGGTAAAAGCAAAGAATGCCGCTAGTTAGAACCGCTCACTTTCAGGACCTTTCTCACCAATAACGGTGTGAAAGTAACACATCATACGAAGGAGGAGCTGATGAAGCTCTGGGTGTACAACATTGATGATCCTGTACCCAAGCATACACGTATGAACCCAGCCCGAGACGGTTTTCGAAAGGGTAACGGTGGAATAGAAATGACCGCCCCTCACAATGCAGTTCTCGAGCGTCAGAACAGCATGATGAGTATCCGGACGCATATAACTTCCTTCGTGTTAGCATGTTTCAACATATTGCAGCATGAACTTACAAGGCAGAGCCGGGTTCCAGCAAAACAACTTCGGCCTCCCATTCCCTAGGATCCGGAATAAATCCAGGCGCCCAATCACCCATATACTCGTCTATACGACTGTCTTGTCTTCGACTCCCATGACGCTGAAACACGTACCACAACTTCTGCCCACAAAGAACTTCCACGAAGGTACCAACACCGTGACAATCAGAATGAATATAACTGATCGCTCCTTTCGTCGCGACTAACCAGAAATTTGTTGCTGAGATTGGATAACTGGCATCGAAGATATCTTCTGGAAGGTCAGATGTCTGCTCAAAGGCTCTGATGTGGCTTGATACAATCCTAACATTCATGAGCCTCCAAAATGAAATGAGCTAAGGTTTTCAATGTACGATTGTAAAGGGTGTCCAGTTTCAGAAGTGCTGCAGGGCAGAGAGAGTGCAGTTTAAAACATGTCCTTCATCTTCCAGGCCTTCCTCATATATTTCGCGTAAGGAAAGATTGACGTGAAGATAGTCCTTTGTCTGGTTGGAGCTTCGCCTTTGATGATCTAGTGGAGCATAAGGATCAATATTTCACGGAAGGAGTGAGCCTAACCTTGGACCTCTCGGACAATATTGACATTGCCAACCTTAGATAGGTCATTCAATGACCAGGTGAGAGGGGAAGTCTTTGTGCCATAAAGGAATATGTGGTAGTTACGGAAGGTCTCCAGGGTCACCGTAGGATTCTTCATTGCATTGGAAAAGCTCAGAGTCACGATCATTGATTCTTCCAAGCCCTTTCCTGTGTCGGGCTTGTACCAGGGACTACCTGTCTTGTCATTAACAATGCAATCATTCCAACCACGAATGGTGATTCGATCGTCAAGCTCCTAATCAAAAGTGAATATCTAAGATTTCCGAGAGAGAGAGTGTACTAACATTGGACAGCAAGGGAAAAAAATCGCAAGAAATGTACTCCTTTCTCTTCGGATCCCAAAGGATTGGAGAAACGATATTTGCCCCAGAACAAGAGAGACCTCGATCAAGCTTGGTTTTTTTCAACAAAAGAGTGTCTCCAGTATTGCCGAAAGCTTTGGATTGCGCCCTTTTCCACCCTGCGACTGATGGAATAACCGTAGTCATTCCTATGGATGGCGCCATCAACATTAACTTCTGCCAGTTTGAGTGGATGTCTTGCATTAGTCTTTGTTCATGTAGGATTTTTTGTTGTCGAGATAATGGAAAGAAGTTTTGAGAGCTTTCCTTCCAAACAGGAGGAAGCTCTCCTATGATGATGTCCTGCACGGATATCGGATCAATATCTTGAACCATCAGAAGGGGCATTATTGGTGCATCGCACCATGGGGGTGACAACTCGGGTCGTTCTCTGAAGTTTGGATAGTTTTCATGCCCCCATTTGTGTACTCGATAGGTTAAGATTCGATGAATTCTGGGTATTGATTCAGGTGTGAAGGGTGCAGCCTTAGATGGAGGGAACCGAGGGAGGCTTGATGACCTTCCTCGAGTCTCTAACTGTAACCGTGCGACTCTATGGGGAGAGCGGGATCTTGCTCTCTCTCCTCGTATTCGATCCATCTTGCGACCCCCTCGCTTAATCCAAGCCCTTCCTGCTTTTCCTGAGCCATTCGATCATCTCAGCACCCACCCTTGCACCCAAACCTGCGACATCATTCTGCCGGATAAAGTGAATAGCATGCTCGAACCACGTGTCCTCCCCATCAAATTCATCCCAAGGCATGGCACCTGATTGCTTCTCCCTCAAAGGTTTCATATTGTTGATTAGTGGACTGATTGCTTCGAGGAAGTCCGTTAATCCAACCTCGCTCATCCAAGAACCCCAAGCTGATACCAATAATGCAACGCCAAAGGAGTTCCTCAACTCGTACGATGAGGTCTGGTTTTCCAATCGAAGACAGCCTTCCACCGACCTAAGAAAACGTAAGCAATGAATATCTGAAAGTAATAAATGATTTCTCACTTGCAAAGCAAGGGACATATTTAACGTCTGACCCATGCCTTGTCCCATAATAAGCAGAAGGGGAGAGATTGCCATGGCATTTGCAAAGCTTTGCTTCCAACGAGGAAGGCTCTGCTTAAATTTCTTTAATGTCTCTTCGTTGCCCATAATCGTTTGGATGTCAGGGTGATTAAAATTCTCATCGATAAACCTTGAAATTGGTCAGGATATTTTCTTGACTATCGAAAGCTTCCTACCTTTGCCAACGTGTCATTTGCTCAACTCCACTGTGCTGAAGAAAATTTTTGTCAGAATACAATCAAATTGCTATGTAAAGAACAGAACCCACGTAACAAAGTAACCGGATGTGAAAAGCCACTCTGTCCAACACAGACAGTACCTTCAGCCAATTTTTGGCTGACTCGTGCTTCCAATGATGCGCAAGAAGACAAACATCGCTGTGCAAGATCTCCTGCGTAAAGGAGGCCCCCAGGGCCAAGGGAGGAAGTGGCGTCGATGCACGTTCCTTATACATGTGAAGGGAAGTCTGAATTTCGGCTAGTTTCTGAGGCCATGATTCTAGTCGCCGTAAAAACTGATGACGAGGGTCAGTCAGAAAGCATTATAGGGCATTGTTAGATATAATATACCCCCATTTGACGCTCGTCAAGACTTATTGACTTCTGGAAGCTTGGATAGTAAGACCTTGTAGGCAGGTGAAGAAAACCAGCTGCGATATCTACTGCTCTCACGAGTATAAGGGTCTCAAGGTGGCCCGCAAACTTGGAAGCGTTGCGACCACCGCCGATATTGTCAATGTGATTTTTCGGTTTACCCCCTTTGACCTTCTCCCAGCCTTCATCCGCAATTGACTTTAGGGACCGGGCCATGGCCATCCCAAACTGCAAGAACTTTAACTCTATATCACTTTCCATTGATCGCAGACAAAACCATTGTTCAGGATCCAAAGGCGTCTCAAGGAATGCTTGGCAAATGATCGGAACAGACCAGACCAATAAGGACCGTTTCGCAGCAGTGTATCCTGTTGCTTCATAAATAAGAAATTAAGCACAGGCCAATCCTCCGATTTTAAGAACAGTTAGTGTATACCTGCAGGGCTTTCAACTGGAGAAGAATGGTCAATCGACATGTTGGTGCAGAAGAGAAAAGTGATAGTGTGGGAAATCAGGTCCAATTAAAGCCGTTCGGCAATCGCCATGACTACGTTTTTCCAGGAGATCATGTCCAAATTGAGCAATTTGGCCTCGGGCAATGTACGCTTCAGTGAAGACCCAAGGAGACACAAAACGTTGCATAAAGACGAAAAAAAAACTACGAAAGGAAATCACTGCACAAGGTATGTAGCAGATTGTTTCTTTGAGTTATTTTTGCCATAAAGAAATTTCAAAAGCCTACTCATAGTGCTTATAGAGCCATGGTCATATTCATATCGAAGAGATACTCGTATATATTGCTACATAGTGCAGGGCATATTATGAAGAATGTAAAGAGGGGTGCATCATAGAAACACTGTGACTATATACCTTCGGGGACAGTAGTGAAATTTCCTAGGAAATGGTGCGAGCACTTACACACCTTGACTCTATGCATTGCACATCAGATATGCAGCAGCAAACACGCTTCTGGCAGTTTTGAAGCCAAGGTGCAACTCTGAAGTCTAGACCTATTGGCTGTTTTGATCTCGATGATAGAATTTGAAATTAGATCATCGAGCTGGATGGCCTGCTTAGTCATAAATCTCATCGAGTGACTGGGTTACAGATAAGAACAATCCCGCTATTTCGCAAGGTAAGGATTTGACTAGATTTTTGGGTGAAAACTGTGTTTGTCCTGAAGAACACATAGACTTTCGAGAGGGAATTGCATGCGATGGATCCCCAATGTTGTAGGAGTCTGAAAGATGCCTCCAGGGTATGTGATCCCCATGAAGTAGGAGAGAAGAACGAAGTCATATTGTCGAAGCCGACGAAGAGGGGAAGCAAAACATCTGGTATTGAGATGGGGGGATAGGACCAGTGAGGAGGACGGATAAGTGCCTCTTGAGGGTCCATCAGTGGGATTGACAGCGCTGGTGATATATCTTGTGTTGACTGTGGAGGTCGTTGGAGGTAGGGGAACTGCGCATTCATCAGGAAAATGTTGTTAACGTCTGTATTGCGGTGGTGGCCATTCCACCAGCCTTCGACAATGGATTTGCGGTCTTCATGGAGCTTAACACGGGAATTTGAGAGTTCTGGGCAATAAGGGAAAACTGGATCTAGTAGAGAGATAAAATCGTCGGACTTAAATTGCTTTGAGAGCGTTCGTACAAGAAATTCGAAACCAAGTCCCTCGGCCCATTGCATATCTCGTTTTCCGGAATTCCATCCTGGTAGAAGTCATGAGGCTGACCATCTGTTTCCAATAATAATCGTGAATCCGATACTGGAACTTGCATATGAGAATGCGGCGATATCGATGACTGAACGTGGACCCGGTATAATAGGAGAGGGGTTGGAAAGTAATTGGGACAAACACCAGTTGAGAGGAGGGATGGTGCGTTTTCGCGCACGTCATGGCATGAAAGGATGGTCACTGGCAACTGCAAGACCCATGGGAACAACACGGGTGATCGGAGAGGACATGAACATCTGTTGACAACCAATTATGGATCGCAGACACATTTTTCTCCTGCTTGTCGGATGGTAGAGAGATGGCCCAGGTGTCCAGATTCCAGAGGATACCCATGAATGAGAATGACGGCGAGAATGGAATGTGCTTCCACATGATGCGAAGCTCTTGTGATATAGTGTCGGTGTCTTCGAATTTATAGGTGAAATTTGCATCGTCTGCCTCTCATTGAGAAAGACTAGATCGATCTCGAACCAAGCAGAGACTGGTATAGTGATCTCAATCGTGTGTGACCAGAATAGCATCGCGAGACACATCCGGACGACTTTCAATGTTGCCAAGGAGGTCTTGATGCTCCTCACATTCAACATGGTCAACTACAGGTGATAATCTATGTATGAACGCATCATCTATGGTTTGAAAGTCCATGATATCGACCTAAGTCATAAAAGTGTGTCCTGGGGAGCAGCCCAAGCGTGTAGAGCAATGGAGGGACGACGCGACATTGTGGTGAGAGTGAATTCCAAGTTTGGACACACATGCCCACAGTGCCGGATTCTGGCCATGACTATTTTTAAGTTCTGCACATCCCCCACTCCGCCCCTCGATCAAATCCTAGACTAGAGCTTTTGGTAAAATTTGAAGTTCGAACTGCTCATGTGCCTTTGACTTGCCAGGCTGATATAAGCTCATTCCAAAGAGGCAGGAATGGCTGCGGACCACCAATTCCCTGAAATGCTGTCATGTACCCATAGAAATAGCTGGAGATAATATGAATGTCATCTAGGGCTATGCAAACACGCTCCAGAACATAAGTCATGAGGGAAACAAGGCAGAACACTGTCAGATGAGTTTTCGACCCTCTGGGCTAGACAGGCCTGTCAGGGGCTACATTGGGTGATGGGCATGCAACAGGGAGGATAAACGAAGTCAATCAACTGCGCGTTAAGTGTTTCCACGTGGTCGGCAACTGTCGGGGTTTCAAATCTGCACCCACGCATCATGCATACTGAGAACTTCTTAGCTCTAAACCACCATGCCGCCCGCTAGAGGAACGAAACACCACCGAAAACCACCATTGCCTCGTGATCTGGAAGGATTGGAGCTGTTTGTCATTGAAGACACTATCCTGCACCTTCTTCAGTAAATCGTGGGAAGGGTAAACTGACGTATGCCACTCAGGGACATCATCGAAATTTCATCAGACGAGGAAGACACAAGTTCTAAAGCTTTACGTATGAAAATTTTGGAATTGCAGGCCTTTGTCAAGAAGCTTAAAAAGGTAAAAATAGTGACATGCATTGAACTCCTCCGTTTAATTTATTCTCTAGGAGACGACAAAAGCTGAAATGTTCACAGACAGAAGCTGAGAAACGAGCTGAACGTGCTGAAGAAGCACTGAAGATTTCTCAGGCGAGCGTCACTGGGCAATTTCAATCTAGTGAAATGATTGTGAGGTTCTTTTCTGGACCGCAATGATGCCTTGACTGACCCATAGATAGAATCCCTTAAAACTGGAACCCGATATTACGTGTGGCACTGTGTGCCTCACTGATGTGGTCGCCTTACCTGTAAGCACCACCTAGTTATGCTGAAAAATATGTCCATTCAAACCAGGTTACCAGGTTGCCTGAATGCGGGCATATTTTCTGTTGAAAGTTGCCTACTAACATGGTTCGATACCATTGACAAACATTATCGGCAGCAGCACCCCCATTACCATCATGATCAACCTATCCCGCTCCCCCCCTTTTCTCCAGGAAGCAATGTCCTATCCCCAGATCGAACCCCACGAACTCCTGCAGTTGATCAAACAGATAACACTCAAATCTAACAGGCCAGTCTTTACCTGTCCCAACTGCCATGAAAAGGTGAAGAACCGACCAGTGGAAGTCTTTCCGATGAAGTCTCTCATCTGAACAGTTGCTGCTGGCTCTGGGTGAGAATAGCCCTGCATCTGATGGCAAAGAACTTTATAAGAATCCCCGAGAAAAAGGGCCATGGGATAGATTCTTTCTTCGTTTGTAATTATGAATGTGTATATTTGGTGATGTCTCAGTGCCTTTTTTTCCAAATTACTTATGAATCTTGATAGCACTTAACTGTTTATATACAATTCACTATCTTTCGAATATCTAGTGTCAATTGGGTGATTTCAGATGAAGCAGTATCCGGGGTGAAAATCGCGCTCTCTTTTGTAATTTCCCAATGATAGAGTAATTTTGTGAATAGTTTATCACCGTAACACCACCAAAAAAAAAGGAAAAGCAGTGTCTGTGGTCAAGGGAAAACGACGAGCCAGCAAAGAGGTGAGATATTGATTCTTCGGAGGCTCAACATCGACTCAAAAGAACTGAACAGTCAGTCCTAACAGGGACTCATCATTGAGCATACACGACTGTGGTATCAGTGGGATTAGAACACTGGAGCAAGATAGGGCGTGCAGTGAATGACAACAAAAGGGCAGTTAACTGTCAGACCAGGGCATTGAACTTCGCTGACAACTCTGTGAGGAGTGTGGACGTAACGCCAAAAAATGTAGTATATTACCAATATTTACGAGCTACTCTGTACATAATAGTGAGACTAAACATTGAGAACTGAAGCTTGTACCAGCCATGCACACTTGTTCCCAATAAGGTGGGTTCCCATGCCCGTCAAGTGCCGCAGTGACCTTGCCGAAAATGCAGACCTACAATTCGGGGGTGGCAGATCATGGCAGTGGCAGCAGAAAACCTCAGTTTTAAGGATCTTCCATCTAAATCTAGTACTCTTACCTTCAGTGACATCTTTATACTGTTATAAACATCTCATTTATGATTTGCGGTGTGTTAAATTTACGCCAAATCATGAAGAAAAAGTGCCAGAGCGATGCCGAGGCTATCTTGCCATGGGCTCGGCAAGATCAATGATGTCATTATTCCCTATTCGAATCGGCCGGCTCCAACGGCTGGAAGGCATGGTGCTCACCAGAAAAGGTAATGATCTACCAGTGGCGCTCCGCTACCCCTAGTCAGTCAATGTGCTTCAAAGTCTCTAAATCATGTCGTACTCTTGGTAACCACCACATGTGCTCTGCAATCCACTAGGTGCATCAATGTTAACAGACGTTCGTTCACGAAATATTTGAAGCCTGATAAATCAATCGCGAATGGCCCAATAATTGATTGATCACACCATGAGAGTGATCGAAGCATTTTCCAGATGGTAGTGAATTCCGTTGAAAAACTTGTGCCCCAGCTGTCTGTGGATCAGAATGCATATATTGCTTGTCCATCATCTTACTAATGGAC